AAACATTCTGTGTTCGTAACAGCTATAATTGAGAGAAAATATGATGGTTCTGAGATATCCTGCATATACAAATAGATAATATTGTATATATCCACGGATAGGGGCGTTTCACGATGCGTACGTTATCTGCAGTAACATTGCGGTAACATGATTATAACACATTGTAAAATATAGCACGTTGGTGTTGAACCGGACAAATGCGTGTAACAGATCCGCCTGTATGGAGCTGAGTGCATTTGAATTTGAATACCACAGAACTAGTTTACGCTTAATGTATCACAGCGATACTAAGAACACGAAGTGATAAAAGAAGGAGAAGCAAAAAAGAAGGAAAACGCGAGAGTGAAAATATGAATGAAATCGCGTCGAAGATTTATGAATTAACGAGCAATTTACAATTACGTATTGTATCCGCTTAACTTTATCGAACCTCACGTTCTAATTATATCTAATTTATCTAAGGCGCCAGTTTAACCAGTTCAAAGTTGGAATACGGAACTCGATTCCTATGTTGTTAAACGAGCGTGCGTCACATAAATTTTTAAGGAAACTGCACACATAAATAACAAATATATAAATGTACTTTTCTCACATGATTACAACTCCACCAAGAATCTTGCAAGCATTATACATCCTTAGCGAGTCCTTGCATTATGAATTCGGTTGAGTGTGTGTAAAATTGTGTCGAGCAGTTTCACAAAAATGAATCAAATCGTCGTAAAGTTTTCACTTTAGAGAAGGAGTTTCCAGCTTGCGATGAGAAATCACCACGAAGATCAACAAAGTGAAACACTTATCTCATGTACTCCACTGTGGTCGCGAGGATTAAGAAAACAGATCGAAATATCGCGAGATCTCGGACGCGCGTGCGAACGAGCGAACTTCCTCCTTACCGATCTAACGGGTGAATCACGGCCCCGTTAATCGACCCTGCCGGCTCACCCCGAAATTACGGAAAAGAGCCCCGCGTCTCTCTCTTTTTCCCGCGCCACCTCGCTCGCCCTTTCTC